TTAATTCGAGGTTACAAGGATGTATCTCATCCTATGTGAGTGAAAATTTTTCTAATTTTCATGCAATCTCAATTTAAAGATCAAAACAACACTTGTGGGAATAATGAACAAGAATGAAAAAACGATACAAACCGAATGACGTTGAGCAACCACTCGAGCATTTTTCCCAAGCGGGCTAGAGATAAGACTCAAATCAAACGGATCCAATTTTGCTTCTAAAAGAGGAATTAGCGAACGCATACCACCGCTTGGTAAGATAATATTTAAGAAGCGAATATCGAAAAGATATTGCAGAACGATTCGAGATGATAGCTCAACACTAGAATGAGCAATGACAGAATACACCGAAAGAAGTAACTGTTCAAGGTGCCGTGAAATATGTGATCGAATATTCCGCGTACATAAATAACCAACGGAATCGTTGGAGATCTGAAATTTGAAGTTTAAACTTTACTTTTAAAATGGATCGTAATCTTATCTTGAAGTGTATAATGAAGCGATAACCCGTTTTAAAAGATTAGAAAAAAAGAAAAAAATTGCTTCATTTTATTAAACTAACAGATGTCAAGCATAAAACTACTCATCATGAATGTGATGTATTCGTCGTATTTATGGAACCATTAACGAGTCCCTCGAATTAGTAATAACAAAAGTTACGAAATCCTTTATAAATTTAACATGCAACAAAAATCACCTTCTGACATAAACTGTACAAAAAAGAGTATAAAATTCGATTAATTTGTACAGGTACTTCTATTATGCCAATTTCTGGTAATTCCAATTTTTCAAATTCCTGAAATGCACGGAATTTCGGAAGGATGCAAATTAAAAAACATTTCGGCAAACTTAAATCCAATAAAATATTTAAATAACCTTATTGTCGACATAAAAGTAGTAAAACCAAACAAGGAAATATGAGAAATTGTGAAATCTATGAGAAGCTATATAACTGAGAAACCTGCAAATATGATATGAAAATGAATGGATCAGTGTAAACTTCTGCCAGTTTTTTCACTTCTTTCTCTTCAGCACAATCTTCAATGATCACATCCAGATAAGCACTGCAAAGAAAAAACAGGATATTCCTACAGCAAATATCATTCAAACTTAAAATTAAGAATTACTACAAATCAATGGATACGTAAAAATTTTATACAAGTATTTTAAAGTGCATGGATTGAAGAATATCGAACAGATGAATTTATAATGAAAGTAAGAATAATCATACCAAAATGATTTTTCAGCACTTTCACATAACATTCTCGCACATTCTAGTATACGATCCATCTTTTTTGACATGGAAAGAGAAATAGACGAGTTACAAAAATGGATCAAAGCAATGTATACTCTTGCCATACACAATGCATGATCAGAATGTGAACCAGTTGAACCATCATCCGAAGTACTAAATTCTTCCACAACGGCACACAACCTACAGATGAAGATATTAACGACAAAATTTCATTTATATTAATTGCAAAAGCTTGGTAAAGGAAAGAATAGTATCTAATTAAGATTAGCAAGTTAAATATGCGATGACACTTGATATTACTTTTGCTTTTCCGCTGCGGTCAAATGAAACAGCAATCTAATATTTGTAGCTACAAATATTTTTTTGTAGCTACAAATATCTAATATTTGTAGCTACAAACGGGAAAGGATTTATTGTCATTTTTAACACGGTAGATCGCGTAATTACCTTCCTCACCTCTTCAACATTTCCAAGACGGCAACAGAGAACTGCTGACGTAGCTGACTTACTGTTTGCTCCTTACCAATCTTTTCATATTCGTTGATAAAATTCAGTAAAGAGTGCAAACCATCATCGAATTCTTTGATGACACTGAAATGAAATGAAATAAACTTTAATTTCAAAATTTGGTTAAATTTCATTTTGCAAAATCCCATTTTTCGATATTACTTTGGAAATTAAAAAGATTCAACCTCATCAATTCTTGTGAAACGCCAGTAGCAAGAAGTGAATCAAGTTTTGGAGCACGTTTTTTAAACAACGCTGGCGGATGGCACGAAATATTGGGAATTTTATCTAGAAGATTTCGTTCCAACACTGATAATTCATTGATGATTAATTCCTTAAGAAATAATAGTAGTAAGGATAACGACATCTCTTTCTACATATTCATAAATCAATCGGTCGTGCTTTAAATCTTTATCTTTCCAATATTCATGTTATTTAGACAGCGAATCACTTCGCCGTAAAATATTAATATTTTAACTAAGACTGTACAGTGGTTCAGCAGGACACTGTATCATCAAACAATTTCAATCACTGGACTGCAAAAAAAGATATTCAATAACATGATATATTCACGCCAACAAACGAACCTGGAATCGTTCGATGATCATATTTCCGAGAAATCGCTGATATACTGTCGTACTATCACCAACCAATGGCCATTTCTAAAAATATTAAGAAAAAAATAGTCCATCGATAATAAGATATCGTATTATATCGAAAAGTTGAGACCGTTAATTACAGGCATGCAATGACTGCTATGAAACCAGAATCCGCATAAACCAATTGTTTTATTTAATTCAGCATTTAATTCAGCATATTTTATTTAATT